GTCAGTTGATCTGCCCCCGCCCCATCACAATGGGCCTGAAATGGTTTTCAACACTTTATGTGTTGTTTGTTTGTTTGTTTTCAAGTTGGGGGTTATCTCAGATGGATTTTGTCATTGGGATAACCCTTTTGAATTTTTGCTGTATGTTATATGGGGTTTTTTGGTGCATGAAAATCAGGATTGATGAACCTAGAGAGACAGCAAGTAGAATAAGGATTTCTGCAGGTTACGGTGGAGGACGGGGTTATAAAGAGAAGCTGACATCAAGGAGTCCAGAAGGAGGTTCTGAAACTGATTCTGGTAGCAATTGTACAATACAGCTTGATGTGATTGAACTATAGAATGATATGGTATCTTTATTATTTCGCAATAAAATGGTTTTATGGGGGGCGGGGGGAAAGAATTTTGCAATTCTTCTGGGTGGGAATGACTGATCACACAGAGAGTGAGAATTTCCAGAACCAGGAACAATCACCGGCGATGAAAAAAGGAAGGGCAAGCAGTCTGGAAAGCAACCTAATAGATAAGTGGCCCAATCCCATGAAGTCCAGGGGTGGTGGGAGTGGCAGAGGGCAAGGAAAAAAGGGAGAAGCCTATTCCTTCCTCCTGCCGGTCTGACAACCAACTCGAGAGACTTAACTTCATTTTTACCCATGGATGCAATTTATCTCTGTGCACAAGTGCCCCTGGACAGGCAAACACCCATTAATTCTGGAGTCCCTAGTCTAAACCATCTTGGCCAGGGTTCTGTCTGGTGAACCACCCTGCAGCCTATCCCTCCACCCTTCTGATACTGAGGGAGCACGTATGTATGCCAAAAGCCCCAGATTGAACTAAGCACCTGGGCTGGCAGCCTCAGGACCCCATCCCTGGTCAGTACCCAAAGTAGACCACCACAGGCCATCCAGAAAAACGGTCTGCCTTCTAAGAAGGCTCTGGTTGCCCCTCTCATCTAGGCCACCTAGGAAGGTATCAGGTACAAATCCATCTTCCCCGTCCCCACTTAGAGACTATCGTTGTCTATAAAGAGTTAACATTGCCCCCCTCTGACTTGAGCCACTTGAGCTTTATTTCAAGACAGCTAGCTACAATTAGCCACACTCTACAATAATGCGGGTCTCTTATTCTCTCCGCCATCTAGAGCCCCATCCTTTTACTCTAAAGCCCAATCCTGCCCTGATGATATTCTAAACAACTTAAAAGGCAGGGCCACTCATGAATTAGAACTGCTCAACTGATCCTTGCCCTTTGTGCTTCCAGTACAGGTCCTGAATCCATCTAGGCTCACCACCTTCTCCAGAAATCACACCTTTCCCTCATCCACATCAGTGACAATACTCTCAGGCTTAGATCCCAAACAATCACCACAGCGCTTGCTTTCCTTGTTAATTTTTTAAAATTTCTCTTTGTTTTTCCTTCTCTTCAATCCTTCTGTTTCCTTCTCACCTTCTTAAACTCTGAACTATGAACACTCTACTAGTCTTACAATTCTTTTCCAGTCATCATTACTCTTTCCCTGTCCTTGCAAAATAAGGAACATTTTTCTCTCTCTTTTCTTATAATCCACCAACTAGTAGTACTTGATCCCTCTTTTTGCTTCATCGTCTAATACTTTTACTCCCATTCTTTGATCTTTCCCCTAGCCCATACTATACGGTTCTCCTGTGATATTTGATCTGTAGGTCTTTCATTCCTTCACTACACCACCCAACAGCATTAACTACCCCTACACAACCCCACCTCCCTGACACACCTAATAGCTACAATAAGATTTCAAGTAAACAATATAAGAAGAATGATGATTGCACACATCAAAAAGAAGAAAGAGCTTGAGAAGAAAGGGGAAATAATGTAAAAGCTAGAAACCTGACTACCAGCTGTACAATAAAAACTTCAAACAGAAACAAAGAAGTCAAGCACTATGACAATAGAATTACACAGCCCCATAAAAGAACAGAGAAACAGAAATGAAGAGACAGAAACTCAAATTAGTGAGGTTGGAGATAAATCTTTGGACTCCAAATTTAGAGAAGAACAAGTAATAAAAAATGCAAAGAAAGACTAAGAACAATGTGGAAAGCCTAAAAAAGTCTAAGAACACAATCAAGAGAAACAATCTAAAGTAGGGATTCCAAAAGAAAACAAAACAAAAAATCCACAGAGAGACTAATCCAAGAACTCTTAGGAAAAAAATGTAATTGCTCTATAAAGGATGAAAAGATAACTCTCTGGGAAGCTGAGAGAACCTCAATTAGGAGGGACCCCAAAAAGGAAAACTCCCTGACATATTGTAGTCAAACTCTAACATCAAAGACAGGAAAAAATTACAACAACAGTAGATGGAAAAAGAACAGTCTCATGGAAAGTGGTAGCAATTAGAATGGAGGACGACAATTAGTATATGCTCAGATTTTTCACCAGGAACTATGCAGGCAAGAAGGTAATGGAGAAAAATATATAGTCTTGAGGGGGGAAAAAACTTGTCAACCAAGAATCTTATACACTTAAAAATTATTATTCAAATAACTTTGAATAATAAATTTGAAGGATAAATAAAAGTATTCCCAGACAAAGAGAAATTAAAGGAATCTGTGAAAACAAACACCACAACAAAAAAACACTAAGTAGTGCAATATAGCCAAAAAATCAACAACAGCACACAAACGTGAGACCAGAATACAAGAAAATAGTTCACAAAAGCAACACAAGTCAAACAATATCCAAAATAATAAAGATAACCACACACATCTCTCCAGGGGGATGGACAACAGTCGGTGTAAGATATGAATATAATAATAGTTTATAATTTATCAAGGGGTCATAAGGTTGAGAGGTGGGGAGGGAAGGGGAAAAGGGAGCTGATACCAAGGGCTCAATAGAAAGTAAATGCCTAAAAGATAATGATGGCCACATATGGACACATATGCTCGATACAACTGATGGTTGGATTGTTATAAGAGTTGTAAGAGCCCCCAGTAAAATGAACTTTAAAAAAAGAAAGCAAGAAATACATAAACAACAAATAAACTGATTAATCTCTCTCTGTCTATCATACACACAAGTACAAATCAAAATGACAATAACAAACCTACACATATACACATATTAATAAATTCACTGAACTTCAATGGACTAATGTACCAGTAACGAGACAGAGAATAGAAGAATGGGTAAGTAAACATGACCCATCAATATGCTGCCTACAAGAAACACACTTCAAAAACAGTCAAATATCCAAGACTGGATAAAAATACACCAATCAAATGGCAACAACAATAAGACACAGCTCTGCGATGCATCCTTAAGGATTGGGAAAAGTTTTAGAGTTGACCACTATGTCAAGATATAGTGTAGGATGACTAAGCATCTTAAAATGATCATACCGTTGTAATATGTGAAATGTAACATAGCTGTATGGTTAAGCAATTAGTATATTTCAGCAACTAAATCAAGTATTCTTAGAATAAAGTGCTATATAGAAAATAAGTTTTGCCCAGTCACTGAGCCGCC